TACCTTTATATGACAATCCAAGGTTGTCGTTTTTCAGATAAAATCTGATTTCACAGCGGGTGTTATAAGCCACTGTCAATAGTTTGTGATGGGAGAGGTCCGTGTTTCGTACAATTGTTTCTCAATTTAATTGGTAGGCTGTGTTTCACTGCTATCACTGGAAAAATATTAATGTAAATAACACAGACACCACTTTCCAACTATGTCGGGCATACCTTGGAATTGAACTCGGGTTCCTTTGTAAACAGAGTGCACATTAACTCGAGTTCGATTCCAAGATATGAGTTTCGAGTGCAGGGTGTTAATCACTGCACCACCGCTCCACTCGATATATTTAATCAGAGGCTGTAAAGCAAGAGCCAGTCTAGATACCTGCAAGAATAACATATTTTAAAAAGTATATGTCTTAGAAAGCGTTTAAAAAGTATAGTGTTTTGTAATCGTAACAATGCTTTATTTTTATACGACATCTTCCATGTAAATTTGGTTCCCGCAAAGAAAAACTTCAATTTTCGGTAACTCTGTTGTTTTTTCATATTATTCCCATCCTGCATTGCCGAATATCTTCCTATTACCCGCGCAGATTAGTGGAGTAAACTTGCGGATAATATCGCGATATTCTTCTCTTAAACATCCCCGTGGATCGGAGCGGGTCTCCCGTGCAGTGCACTGACTTGTACACGGTCCACAGCCCGGGTACGGGTAGCCGTTTGCGACCCTGGTGCGGCCGGGTACGGGTACGGGAAGGCCGTGAGTCACTGGTGAGTAGCCGTTTGTCACTCATTTCAGGTAGGGTACGGGTACGGGTAGGCAACGGCTACCCGTACCCGGCCGGGCTACCCGTACCCGGCCGGGTACGGGTACCCATTTGCGACCCTGGTGCGGCCGGGTACGGGTAAGGAATCAAAACCCGTTTGCGACCTCTGCCACACACTCACCATGGCCCTCCTCCCCTCCCTCCATCCCCCGCGACTATATAATTCCTCGTCACAGCCATCTCTTAGACACTTGTGTTGCGCCCGAAACATCGTGATTTGATTTAGTTGTTTTCATTCATTTGATTTTTTACCCACGTGACTTTACCGAAAATAACAAAAAGTACGGCACATCACATTTGGAATTCCCTTCCGTCGCCTTGTTTCGAAAGCTGCCACGAAAACCGTGCTCAACTCGAGGCGACGATTTAACCCTTGTCTGTTACAACTATGGCCGTGCTTTTCGATTTAAAGCTTTCGTGACTGCAGGGATTCATCTTCTTGGTTCTTTCGGTAAAGTCACGTAGAAGGGAAATAAGAAAATAATACAAATTAAACATTATTTTTTAAAATTATGTTTTATTTGTAGAAGGGAAATAATAAAATAATACAAATAAAACATAATTTTAAAATAAAACATTATACAAATAAAACTATTTTTAAATAAAACATAAAAAAATTGTTTAATTTTTATTATTTTATGACATCCCTTCTACGTGACTTTACCGAAAGAACCAAAAAGATATGACCGTGCTGTTTGTTGCTGGCCGTGTGACGTTCTAAGGGCTTGGGACCTGCGCAGCAGCAGCAACAGCAACAATTGTAAATCCACATGCCACTGGGCAGGAGGACGTCTTTCTTACTTATGCCCCTTTGCTGTTGGTGGCCCCGTTGATCACAGGAGGCAAAGACAGAGGCGGTCGGTAATGACTCATGGGGCGATTGTAACTTCTCGCGCCGCGGGACGCTTCATTTAACTTGGAGGAGGGCGGGATAATTCCGCCACAATTTGTGAGGGGTGAGTGGAGTCGACCCCCACCACTCATCCCCCCCCCCCCACCACTCATCCCCCCCACCACCACTCAAGCAACCTGTCACAGTCCAAAAGCTGCTTGGGCAGCGCACGGATCATACATGTTAGATCTCCGAAAGACGCTTTGTTTATTTGCCTCCCCTCCCCGCCACCCCCTTAGGCTTTCCGCAGCGGCATGTCGGGTACACGTAAGCGTGTGTATATTTAGTTCATCTTGGCAAGTGTGCACGCGCTGTGGGCATTAACATCGCCCCGACGGCTCTATTTCGGTTAGAGATGCGTACATAATTTAGCGGCACTGGTATGGTTATGCGTTTCCCCATCGGTCCCAGCCTGCTATGCATCGATTTTTCTTAGCGGATTAATTATAGCAAAAAAAACATTAAAATGCCCAGCAGACAAAGCCAGACCGGTAGATTTGATCTTCTTGGTTCGGCCACAACGCAAGCAGCCGTCCTCAGGACGGCTGCTTGCGTTGTGGCCGAAACGTCGTGAGAATTATTTTATTTTATTATGTTTTATTTTTATTATTTTATTGCTTCCCTTCTACGTGACTTTACCGAAAGAACCAAGAAGATGAACCCCTGCAGTCACGAAAGCTTTAAATCGAAACGGTAGATTTGAGTTCAAATGTTTTCCATGCTGCTGTCCTCCAACAGACCAATGCCCGTGCACGTCAAGCATCATCGCATCATCTTCATCTGTGTTGCGCCCCCCACCCCACCCTCCACTTTACATCCACCACAAGCCGCCAGGGGCCCCAACCACTCTGCACGTTTCCCATGTATGGAACCCACCCTTCCCCACACTGTGCAAACCACCACCACTGACACCCTCCCCATCATCCCAGCAGCCCACACCGTGGCCAATGATGATGCCCCCGCCACGCCTGCTGTGCCCTCTCCTCTCAGCAGCCCAACCGCTGGAATTCTAAGAGCGAAAGCCTCCGACCCAGATCTGTGCTTCAGTGTAACTTTGGCAGCTGTTGTTGCTGATGCTGCTGCTGCATCGCTTGCTCTTTCTCGTGACCAGCTCAGCCTTTTGTTTTAAATTTATATAACCCCTCCAACCGTCGCGAACAAATCATGCAGTAGCGAGTGCAGTCGTGAAATGTTAAAATTTTTGCCGACGTTTATTCCGGTCGTACTTTTCTGCTGATGCGATCACCGCCACCAGACAAATCTTCCTCGTATCCTCCGCTGTGCAGTGGTCTACGTGAGACCCTGACTTCTCTCGGCGAAGCCGGAAAATCTGTGCGGGCTCGCGTGGTCAAGCCGCTGTGGATTTACGTGTTCCCTTTCTTCTTCGTCTCCTTTCTGTCTTCATCTTTACGAATGAGTCCTGCCATCTGGGTGCACTGGATGCTTCTGCAAGATCCTGCACTGGTGCAGGCCACAGTGGATCTGATTTGATTATTTTTTAATTCGTAATAGATTTTTTAAAAATATATATCTCAGGTTTTTTATTTGCATATTTTTTTCCGGGGTTGCTCTTCGTTGCGATGTGGTGCCTGCACTGTGCGTCGGAGCGCGCTCCATCCCTCTTTGAGCTGGAGCTAATCAACTGGTAAGGGTCGATGTTGGAGACACCGTGACCCCATGGAGATTCCGTGACCCCATGGAGACGCTGTGACCTTACTCACGTGAGATGCGCGTGGCCACCCAGTGTTCCTTACCCCTCGTTACAGCCTCCACCTGCCCAGGATCACAGGCACCTTATTGATCGGCGGCCCAGGTTACACTTGCAAAGGAGACTTTCCTGGTCTCATGCGTTCTCACTGGGAAACTAAACTTCTAGCATCGGTGACGTAAACGTTATTGGGAAAGCATTACCCGGTTTCGCTCGGGCTATCAACACAAATTCCCTCCGCATTTTCCGATCTTTCGCCGCCTCTGCTTTTGTAATCGTTACATTCCATTGTGCAAAGAAGACAGTCTTCTACGTCTTCTACGTCTGCCCATCTGGTCCTAGGTCTTCCTCTTTTTCGTATTCCGCGTGTCAATTTCTCTTGCCCCAATTTTCATGGTAACCTCTTTGCGGTGTCCGTCCTTAGTGGATGTTGAGCCATTGTAGTCTCTTCCAGTTGATAATTAATAAGACCGACAGCCTCTTGTTCCGTCCTCTCTCTGGCTTCTGTGCTGCCTACTTTCATTCGCCAGTTGATTCGTGTGATCTGGCAGAGGCGTTGCTGGTCAAATGCATCTAAGCGTGGTTCAGCAGCCTCTGTGAGAGACGTGGCACCTCTGTTAATTCCTCTGTGGTGAGCATTGCCTTCTGTTAATCACGCACACGTCCGCACAGTTATACTTGATAACATTACGGACTGGATTTGCGTAGCGTCTACATGAGGCCGCATCTCACGATGCTTTATAAAATCGGTGGGAGTATTTACTATGCATGTACACATTCATAGATACAGAGACGATTACACATACTACACATTGTAAAGTAATGCATACGGACATGCTGACTGGTATGCAATGTCCCACTCCGCTGTGCCATAATCTGGAATGAATGACCGTATACAGTAGGATTATCAGAACAAATGGTATCATTACAATATTGAATTTGAGATGTAAATAATAGCAGACTATGGTAATTTGCAGAATATAATATTTAGGTTGTGTTTCAATGCACGTAGATTTACCAATTGTATACATTCATGGTTTACACATCATTAAGATGTTAATAATGCGTGTGTATGTGTGCTTGCGGGTTCGATTCCCGCTCATGGCCAACACCAGTGACGATTATCTGAATCAGGCCTGGGCCTCCTCTGGGTCGACCCAGCCTCAAATGAGTACCTGGTGCGATGTGTAAATAAACGCCAGTTGGGAGACAAAGGCGGCCGAGCGTGGTGCTGGCTACCCACCCCCTCGTGTGCCGTTCTGGCCTTCATAGGTGCTCGCGAACAGCACTTTACCCAGCAGCCTGTAAAGTCTCTATGGGGAATTTAGATTTTGTGCGAAAAACAAAGCTGAAATTAGGAACAATAAAATCACAGGTATCGAGAAAACCAATGAATCATTATTATTAAGGCTCATCCGATTCGCCGTTTGAAATAATTTAACACCAAAATGTGCGTGTGTTCTTTTCCACCCATGTGATGATTCAGCAGACGTACGCGCGCGTTCGTATTTTATTTATTAATTTTGCGCGCAAGGGTAAGAGGCGGGCAGCGAAGGTGCTGTTGACGGGGTGACGACGCCGTGCGCATGGAGAGAGAGAGAGGGGGGGGATGATGCGGTCAGAGGTTAATCGCGCGCCGTGTCAGCTGTGACACCCTCATGAAGAGCCACGGATGACCCTTCTGCCGTGCACTGTACATGGCGCGCGGAGTCCTCTTGCGAATCAGCACGGACGGGAGGCAGAAGCGGCAGCGGCAGCAGCAGCAGTAGCAGCAGAAGCGTGCGGCACCCACCTCCGCTGCGTGCATCGAGAGAGAGGAGGCGCGTGCGTGCGAGTGAGCGAGGAGAGACAGAGAGACGCACGCACGCACGCACTCGTAGCGTGTCAGACGGAGAGAGGAGGAGGAGGAAGAAGACGCAAGGGCAATCGGGTGGCCGGGAGACGTCGTCGAGACGCGATGAGACAAATATAGCGTGCGAAGTACACACCGTTCATTCCCTCTTCCCCGACGCGCGTTCCGCAAAAGACTCCGCTATGAGGTACGATATATTCACGCGTTCTCTCGCGTCGCGATGGTGGCTCGGGCTTGCTCTGGAGGCTTATTTGATTATCCCTTTTGGCCGGGCTCGGCAGGATTTGTCTGCACGTTGAGTTCCTCCGCCACCGGGCGCGATTAAACCCACCTTTGCCGCCGACAAACAGATGGCAGTTACGCTACGCGATGATTTATTCCGGACGCATTCGGTGGGGGAGACTTCTGCAAGGGCGTTTTTGTTTGTTTGTATGTTGCGGCGAAGTCGTCCCGTGTTGTTTCGCATGGCCGTGTTGTCGCAATGCTCTACCTTGAATTCGCGTACTCTTGCCATTCGTTGCCCGACTGACAGTTGGATCTTAACCCTCCGCGATGTTTTATTCGGGAGACTGTGGGTGACTTTTGAAGGGCGTTCTGTGGCGAGGTCGACCGTGTTGTTTCCAGTGGGCTGTAGCGTATCTGGTAGCCACAGTCTTCCAATTATAGTACCGTCGAAAAAACGGTCACCTTGTTAAGTTGCATTGCAAGTGACGCTGCTAATGATTGTTCGTCATTCGTGTCTGCGTCGGACGTGTGTGTTTTTTTGCTGAAGGTGGGGCTTTGTTGGCCAGCTATGGTTGAGAACTGCAATTAAGCTTGCTCGATTGAGAAACTGCAATTAAGCTCGCTTGATTAATTAACAATCACAGTGTTTGCATTTTGAGATTATCGCATCCCGATGCATGCATTGACTAATTCGCTTTCTTTCCGCGAGCCTCTTCCTTGCACATTTTGCCACGTCAAAATATGCGGTGGTTTTCGCCTTCCAGCGAACGCTTTGGCACCGTGTTGTGTACAGAGACGAGCGAATTATCATTTTTTTTTCCTTCAAAAAATAAAACATGAATCGAGCAGCGTTCCATTGCGAAATTGCCGTGCGAGGCTGGAAATGGTTCCCTGATGAAAAGGGCCTGAGCCGTGCCTGAGGAGAGTGAGTATGCCGATGACGCGTAATGAATTTTCATTTAGGCCGGGCAGGCAATTGTGAATCTATAATGAATGTGGAATGATATCGGTGCATCTTCAAGGCAACGCTCTGCAACGTCCTTACATGGCACACGTTTTTTTCATGGCAATGCCATTGGGCCTGCGTTTTTTTTTCTACCACAGTCCAATGGGAGGCAGGGAAGGGGAGGGGAAGACCGGGAGATGGAAAAATAAAAATGACAGTGCGCTCGCACAGCGCTGTGCGGCTTGCTCAAAATAAACAGCAGCAGCAGAAGCATCCTGGTTCCAGTTCATTCGGAGGCATGCGTTTCCACACGACGCTTTCGTTTTGCCAGGGACTGCGTGCGTCTGGCTGCCTTTCTCGGTGTTTTAGTTGCTCGACGTCTCGTACGGGAATCGACGCTCGCCTCGTTTGTTCGCTGTGAATGGAGAGCGCCGGCAGAATGAAGATGAGGCCCTCTGCGTAACGGGTTACGTGCACATTCGTCAGCGTGGGCTGGGGCTATATGACACTGACTACGTAACCGCCATGCAAATGCATCCTTCTAGATTAAAAAGTCATTATTATTATTAATAGTAATAATACTCTGATAATTATTTAATACCGCGTCTCCATTGCATAAGAGATGCGCGTCGTAGTGATCTCACACCTAGGTCTAATAAACAACGTGAAATCGTATTCCATTGCCGGAAAATCTGTTGTGAAGAATCCAATTGGTTATTTCATTATTTTCTCGTGAATGATCCGAATTTTAAAATGCTGCTGCCCTCTGCTTGTATATTAATACGCCCACACACGGAAAATACAATACAGTACAATATTGAATTCATTATGGTTATCATTTCCAGTGCTTTGTCAATTCACTGCTGGATGCAGCCCTCCTCATACCGTGTTGATCATGGGGGATGTTTGTGCACTGCAACTATACATCTGTAGATCCAGAGTTCGAGTCTCTCCCATGGCTAACATCAGTGGACGGTGATGTCAGAGCCATTCCTGGACAACCCCATCGCCAACCAGAATCAGAATAAAAAAAAAATCTGTACTTAGACTGGAAGAATCCGATTAACTATGCAGCTTCACAGATGTCCAGTCATTAACCACCACGGTGAAGTGTACAGTCAAATAACCCCAGCGATCGACAGAGTACGGGGATTGCCTTCATCCAGCAGTGGATTGACAAAGGCATGGATTTTGTTACCGCTGCGGGTAAATAATCGAGGCAGAATTAATTGTGTCTTTCTGCGCTCGCAATTTTGCTCATGTAGCTTGTAAATTGTATTACGTTTACAGTATTTGGCTCTCGGGCGCGATATGTTTATATGCGTAAAGTGCCACCGTATATCACCGTGATAAAGTGGCTGAGCCAAGATTGGTAATGCAGAAAAAAAAATCAAAGCCGGCAGCAGGGAGCCACGCGATTTCTCGCTGGAATTGTCGCAATTCGTTTCAGTAATCGGTTATTGCTTCTTCTTGGTTCTTTCGGTAAAGTTACGTAGAAGGGAAGTAATAAAATAATAAAAATAAAACATAATAAAATAATTCTCACGACGTTTCGGCCACAACGCAAGCAGCCGTCCTCAGGTGAAGACCAGGTCTGTCGGGGAGACAGCGTCGGAATGATTTCAGACGCTGTCTCCCCGACAGACCTGGTCTTCACCTGAGGACGGCTGCTTGCGTTGTGGCTGAAACGTCGTGAGCTATATTATTTTATTATGTTTTATTTTTATTATTTTATTACTTCCCTACTACGTGACTTTACCGAAAGAACCAAGAAGATGAATCCCTGCAGTCATGAACGCTTTACATCGGTTATTACTTGTAACATTTTAAGTGAATGTAGCGGCCTCTAGTGGACTGTGGGTTCGCGTGAACCCATTACGTACAACGTCTACGTATTGGGGGAAGAAAAAAAATATATTCCTACTCGTGCAATGTGATGCATGCATGTTGAGCGTACGAATCGATATTAATTGATTAATTAATGCATCGTTACATTCCCCTCCCCCCCCCCCCTTAATTGGCAGTGTTGACGTGCAACCAAGGTCACCAATGTGGCCCAAACTAATGGTGGGGCAGCACAACGGCGACGGGCATTGTTGACGCTCATTGGCGGTTGGTGGTTTGTTTTTTCGATCACTTTGGCCAATATTTATATCGGACATTTAAGTCGCGACGCGGGAATTCGTAAAATCGTTTTCACATCGGCGATTTTTTTGCGCGCAAAAGAGAAAAGCTCCACAATAGAGGCTTTATTTGGGTTAGATCGCGATCTAGCCCAATTCAAAATGAGGACGGGGATAAGGGAAGCGAAGACAGCGTTGCCCCAAAGGCTGACGCAGAATTGGCCGAGCGAAACTTTGCTTGTTGCACAACAAATGTGCGCGCCAAGGAATACAGAAACGCCGCTGGACAGATCTGCACGCTTTAGGCAGCCTTGCGGTCGATTTTGTCCTGGAGTTATCCAAATAACGTGTATCGGGAGTCATTTTGAAGACAGAAACGCCGCTGGACAGATCTGCACGCTTTAGGCAGCCTTGCGGTCGATTTTGTCCTGGAGTCATCCAAATAATGTGTATCAAGAGTCATTTTGAAGACAGCTATTATCTACAGTTTTAGAAAATGTCGCGTCTTTTTAAATCCTTTATATTAAGTTCGCTTGCTTGCTTGCTTGCGCGCTTACGACCGTGCAAATCTTTCGGTCGTTTTTTAACCCACTTCCCGTGATCCAATCGAGCTGACATTTTGCACACAGACTCGTTGTGCGTGACAATTTATTTTCGTGAAAAAAAATTTCCAAAATTTTTCACTTTTTGAGAAAAAAAAATTCATATTTAATTTAAAATAGCAATGTGAAAAAAATGAAACTCTTTCTCAAGAAAAACAGAAATGAATAATAAAATAAAACCGATGCCACGCATATAAAGGATTTATAGTGAAAAACTTTGTTTTTACGGGTTAATTTTTAATCGAATAAATGCACTAAAAATGAATGCGCCATCCACATTCCAAGCACGCATGTGTGAGCCAATCCAACACCGCGATATGTTATGAGCATTCCTCCCTTATCAAGTAAACTGGAACATTTTTTTTAAAGCAATCGTGATTTTATTAATTGTTGCCTAGATTTTTAAAGTGTCTGATAAATGTGTCCATAATCGTGGAACTGCCCATATGCAGCACGACCCAATATGCATGATGCGTGCATTCAGCATGGGCGTGACACGTACACATACATTTAATTATCAGTCTACTGCTCAGAGGGCCGGCCCCCGTACCTAGCAAATCGCAGTGGGGAGTGGGGGGGGGGGGATTAGTTTGACCATGCTTCACCAAAGTGAAGGCAGGCAGCATAGGGAGTATACAACAATGGAGTTCGTCACGCGTTCCGCTCCCCCACCACCACAGCATTTGACACTGTGTCATGCACGGCAGTCTCACAACCAGGCACCAATTGCCACAAATGAACCACAATAACTTGCTGATCTCGTCAAGGAGCATAAACCATCATCACACAAACTCTGGTCATCCTCGCAGCGGTGGCTTTTAGTTAACCATCAAACAAAGACGATCACTGCATCGCACGCTTTCAGATGCACTTCTGCGGCCGTCTGGAATGCTCTTCCGATATTAGGAAGCAACTGGAGCTATGCACTTTGAAATCTAGAATGAAAACTAATTTCCTGAGAAATGCTTTCGTGTTTAGTTTGTTGTCCTTCCCCCGCACCTCCGATTAGCACGGTTGGTTACTTACAGTGCGAAATAAGTTTAGCATACGTACAGCCAGGCCCAACCTTGCTTAGCTTCTGAAACCTGACTTGATTGGATGCATTCCAGGGGTGTTTGGGTCATGGGGGTGGAACACGAGTAAAGACAAAGCCATCGAGATGGTGTTATGATTACATTGGCAAGGATGCAGGGCTGATTGAAGCTCAGAGCTACATTGGGAGTGATGCGGAGTCACTACAATAGACTTTAATTCAGCAGTGGATTGAGAACGGCTGGTGATTGGAGTCTTA